TTTTTTTTTTACCAGTAAAACGGTTCTTACGGTTGCGGTCACGCACTCGACACAGGCATTCGCATTACACGCGTGTAACTGTGATTAATTCGTAGGTACGATCCGCACGCGACACAGTTCATAAATTTCTCGCAGTTAAGCGATTTCATAGCAAGCCTGGACCCGCCATTGGGAATCTCGAAGCCGAATATGGTTGCGTTAGTTAGTTTTAATCTTCCTATCGCAAAGGGTAATAAGATTCATTGTCTGGACATTCTGCACGCACTTGTCAAGCACGTCCTCGGGCACGTAGAGGAGTCTGAAGATTTTCGAAAGCTGCAGGAACAGATGGATATTAAGTTTAAGAAACAATTTCCCACGCGTAAAGAACTTGAAATTGTCTCTTCGACGAGAATGTGGAAACGTCAGGATAAAGCAGCTAGGCTGATTCAACGCACGATCAGAGAATACGTAACGTGAGTAACTATTTCCTGTTCCCTCCTAAACGGTATTTCGGAGGAATCTGAAATTAATGTGTGACGCCCTCGTGAGTCTTGTTACTATTCGGACTTCATCGTTTCCAATGACTTTGAAATATGTTGTCATTATTCTGAACATTATCCTTTTCCTATAGGTGCGTATTACCGTTGTTCAGCTTTAGTTTTTAGAGATATTTGTAAAAATATCCAGTATAGATCATGTTGTTTTTGAAGACGTGAAAAAGCTTTGTCTTAGTATAGAAGGGATTATAATACTTCCTTTGTAACTGAAGCAGTTTCCAAGACTTCAACATCACTCTCACTTTTTTAAATGGGACACTATATTTCTTTTTGTACACTGTGCAGCTTTTTATTTTCTATGGAAAATTGAGCTATTTGTAAAAATTGATAGTTTAGATATTTTAACTTTAGTTTCACGAAATCTATGCATGAAAAATAAGGACTGTATAAGAGTACCGTTTGTCCCTTTTCGTTTTTCATACAATAGATTTTACAGAATTAAAATTAAAATACTTTCTAAGTTAGTACTTTTTTTAAAATATCGAACTACAGCGATTAATCGAGCAGAAAATATATAATTCCGTTGAAAGAAGTAGAGGTGACTTTGAAATAATCATAAACTTCTCCATCTACAAAAAGACTATTACTGTCATATTATGATCCCTTCTGTACTAAACAATTTTTATTAACAAAGTTTTTTTTATATCTTCAAAGTGATCACCAGTTACCTGATTCATCCTATGTTATCCTCTTAAAGGATAAACTTCACCGATTTCAATGATTTTTCAAAGATCATATTTTTAAATTATTTCAATCTACCTAATTTAAATTAATACCGATATTCCCATTGATATTTTAAAAAATGATCAATATTCAGGATAGATAAGTCAGTGGCTTTCACCATCATTTTGAAATAATAATTGAATATAACTGTATTTTTTGATGTGATGACAGAATAATTATATAATTTAAAATTAATTGCAATTTAATTTGAATTTTCAATACAAAAATTACATATCATTGATGTAAAACGTATGTACAAACGTAGTATTAAAAATATTTTTGCGTAATGTGTATAGGAAAAAGTTGTTCAGAATGATGACTTTGACAACATATTTCAAGATCATGGAGATCTCCCCTTTTCCGAATAATTATCATAAGTTTCGTCATCCGATATTGATGAGGGCATTACATATTAGATTTGAAGGCACAACCAAGAAGATAATGACACTGCATGAAAAAATAAATCGCAAATAAAGAATGAATCTTTTTCATTTAATACTCAGAAAATTAAATTTACAATTTCTCAGCTGTATCTGAACTTAATTGATTCTGGACTCAGGAATAATAAATAACGAACAGGAAATTATTCTACCTGTGAAAATAAGCCAAAAGTGTAGCACACAATTTCTTCATACGCGTCGTTTTCAAAGAATTAAAACCATAATTTAAAATTTCATCAAATACATATTTACTTGTACTAACCAATTTTGAACTGAACATGTTCAAACTTTATTTTCTTGAGAATGAAGATTAAATTGAAAAATTATACTTTACCTATTTACGTAGGTAGAATATCTTCCTACCAATTAGAATTAGCGAAATTCAAATATATGCAATCTTCAAACTTGATTCGAAGTGGCCTAAATGGGAAAAATTTTATTCTGTACTTCTGACAATGTCTCTTCACTGCTTTCTCGGTTGTACCTGCAATACTCGGACAGCTTCTGTGTATTTTGTAACGGAGATCGCAACAGATGTATCATTGTGTCCAGGACGAAGAAGGAACGTGAAAGAATGGCTCAAGAAGTGGACTCGCAGACTCAAACGTCGAGCCCTGGTGCTGGGAACGAGGGTAGGGGCGGGGGTGGATGGAGTGGCAAAGTATCGGCTTTTCTACATGTTCATAGGGGTAGCCGAGCCAGTAGTCGCAAGTCCTCGAGGGCCAGCGACGCCAGCGATTTCAGCGAGCTCGGTACAGCTTCGGCATGGCTTTTTCCAAACTTACCTCTGCTGTTGCTCTCCGGCGCCACCGGTACTCACGAGGACCTGCCTCCTCCCGCTCTGACCGTATCCCGTCCCTCGCCGACTGCAGAACAGCAATCGTTTACCGGTTCCTCTGTTACTTCTGCCACTTCTTCTGATCTACACACTAGGTTTGCATTTCTTCTCTTACCTATGATGTTCCAGATGTTCCACAGTGGATAAGAGAAAATTTTGGGAGAGGATATGGTTGACGATATAACCCAAAACAAGATGAAAATGAAGTGCTGCGCTTGAAGCACAAGTTGCTAGTTGTTGTTAACGCATTCATTTGCAGACAATAGTTGTTTGTAAATGAATTTTTTTGTAAATATCGTTTACGTTGCTAAATCTTCTTACATTTCAGTCAGAGAGATATTCTGTGAAAATTATATTCTCAAAATCTTAACCTTGAGAACTGCTTCAACAAAGATGTTGGCGTTTAAAATGAAATATGCATCAAAATCAAGGTCAATTTCTCTCAGATTTAATCACGTGATAACTTGCAAATCGTAGAAAAGAAAATTAACAAGATGATTAAATATTAAGGTTTGGTTTTAAATATACTCTTATGCGTAAATCACTATACTTGAAAATGAAAAGTCTTCACGTGTTAAATTCTTCATTTGCACAATGATTTTTTATCTTTTAACACGTTCCTTTTATAATTACGACTTGAAACTATATCTTTATCATTCTTTTACTAAACTATAAACATTTTTATACTAAACTATATCTTTATCATTAATTTTCGCCAAACAACATCAATTTGGCTTTGCAGTTCTCGCTCAGAGTTATATCTTTCGTCGGCGACGCTTAAATAAGAAGCGACTTTCTCTAAATAAATAAAATTTCCGGCATTTTTTATCTCATGTTATTTGAGCTTGTAAAATTTTCCAGCCCCCAAAATTTTCTGTTCACATCGACATAGAGAAACTTCTGTTTCAAGAAGTAGAGGAACGTCAAGACGAAATTACTAAATAAACGATAACTTGCGGCAGATCGTCAATCGGGGGTCCGACACTCGGCCGACAAAATGCCGTTGAAAGTTATCCCGATGAAGAAGTTCCCAGTCTTCCTACGAAGCGCAAGTCACTTCCGCCAAGCGCTACGACACTCTCTCTGAACACCTTGCATCGTGATATCAAAGAAGCGTTTAGCAGACGTTGTGGTAGCCTCCGAAAGAAACAACAACCAACCCCTGAACCAGCTCCGCTGCCAATCGAATCTACCGATGTAAGCATACTCGTTACAGAACCCAGTCCAGAGAATTCAGCACCGCCTTCGAGACCGGCGCTGCTCAGACGACAATCCGCCGCCACGGTCGTTCATGTCCTCGTTCACAGAGAGAGTGAAGAGTATCGAGACACACAACCCGACAATGCCAGTTGATCTTAGATCGTTATGCCCGAGATCCTTCCGAAATCAGTTTAAACGAGAGGCTAGGCTGAAAGCCATCGATATTTGCTTGTTATCGCGTTACAGTGGCCCCCCCCCCCCCCGACATATTCGAGTCTCGTCCGATTCCCTCTCCTCTCCCCCTTTCTTTAACGCTGTTGCCTTATCATCATTACCATCTGTAATGTTCTTGCTGTTTCATTGTAATAAGTATATCTCAGAGAGAGAGAAGAAATTTCAATGAAATTATTTCCCAACAGTTTCAATGGTAATTAACTTTTATCGAGATATTTATTCCGGTATATTTAG